GCCTTGCTACTCTCTTCCTGCCCAAATCCTGAAGGCTGCTGGTTATCACATTCACCTCTATTCAACATTCATCCCCAAATAGCAGCACAGTGTGTACATACCACAAAGTAAGGGCAGGTTTAAGCCCCTGGAATAACATGGCAATGGACATTTCTCAGCCATGAACTATGATGAATGGCAAAGAGAAACCCCAGGCATAGTTTCGTTCCTGTCCCAGCAGGACCTGGGTACTACTCAACAACTTGGTAGTGTGTTCCTGCTCACATACAAATTTAATGAGCCTGTTTTACTGTGGGGATGTGAGCCAAGAAAATCCAATTGGGTGATGGGGGGAGGGTAAGTGAGAAAGCCAAAGGGGTGGATGTGGGGGGAGGAGAGGAAAAACAGCAAAAACTAAGCAACTGGGATGCCATTTCCAATAACTACATAAATCTAGTCACTTCCCATTTCTGGTCCAGTGGTTGGCCACAACGTGACCTAAAACTGGGCTGACCTCTTTGAAATCAACATCTCCCATGGAAATGAAACAACAGACACACTTGTTTTGATGTATGGCTGGGTGACATATTATAAATATTACATCACATAACCACAGAGGATGCCAATCAATAAGGAATTTTTTTAGACAGCACTAAATGAACCATGGGCTCTTGCTTCTGAATACACTCCTTTAAGGCTCCTACTATTGCTTAAATGATTAATAGAAGACATATTGTCAGAAAATGTACTTAAAGTGAAAAACAGTAAACTGAAGAAATATCATTCATTTTTTAAGCAATTTTCTAGTGAAAATGTCACATAAATTTACATAGAGGCTCTACAATTGGGCTCCAGGTATCCACTAGAAGGAAGGCAGACCTCATGCTATGTGGACGAAGGGCCAGGGAATTATTTTAACAAAGGAAAAAGAAAAAAGAATCAGGCAGCTACATTGCTTTATATAAACACAAATGCCACAGGAACTCTGAATTCAAAAGTCAGATCATGAAACCCTAAAATTTCTCACAGGCGAATGAAGCACAAACTCTGGAAGGAACAAAGCAGAGTTGTTTTCAGACCACAGACTAGAGCTTCATCAGACTGACATTTACTTCATCCAAATGCAAGTATGCATGCTTATCAAACTAACAATAAACATTTTAATAACTATTAATAATAAGTAAAAAATGTAAATATGCTAGAGATTAACTTACTGTTTCACTCAACACTCAGATGCTGAGTAGTGAATGTGTCACTGGATGGGCACAAGCTTCAGGTTCTCTCTGTTCTTAGTTTCTGTTCCTTTCAGAGTGTAAACATCTTGCCACTGTTGTGGGTGACTTATGTATTTTCTAAGGTAATTTCAACTACACTGCCACGTGCGCACTAACAAACAATCTTTCCAGACCCTACCTCAAATCCTTCAAGGAGGAGTGACCTAAAGCAAGAGAGGACAGACTTGCAGAGTGCCCAGGTTAGCCCCTGAGATCAATCACTCTCGCAAAATCAAACCTTCCTAAAGAATCATGACCCACAACTAAGGACTTTGATTGAGTCTTGCTTATTAACTGCATTTGTTGACATCCAAACAAATCTGATTTTGAAGGGACAGTGGACAACTAGAAGGCTCACAGATTCCTGCAATAAGTATGCAGGCATGAAAGGGACAAGTCATTTTAAGCTGACTCCAGAAAACAGTTCCAACCCCTTTTCCATTACTAGCACTAAATCAGGTGTCGAGGTTTCAAGAGACAAGACTACTCAGCCCTTACCTACAGGAAGCCATTCCTAGATGTTTAAATACATGAAGTAGTGAGGGCAGCATATAAGGTTGGAATAAATAAGATGGTGTTAGGCAGTAAAGGAGAATGATAACTTCTTAGCAGCAAAGTGCCCAAGGACACTAGGGCCAACTGAACAACAGAATCACCTATTGACTATTTTTTTTGTATTTCCAACTTAATAAATCAGAATATTTCAGATGGTTCATAGGTCTATCTTGGGTTAAGGGCTGCCAATCTAGGACATTTTTCCCATTTTAAAAGTCCCATTGGCTAATCTGGACTCCCCATCAAATCTTCTAATCTAGTCTCTTACATCATAGTTACTAGTAGTTTTGTTAATATGGCCAGTTACAACAACAAAATAGTATTAGCATTTCTTTTACAACCTTATCAGCCCTCTACTTTAGAGCAAATAGAATAAGTCACAACTAGAAACTTCCCTCACCCTACCTATCTCATTTTAGAAAAAAAAAAAAAGACTAAAAAGTGCCTGAAGTTGAAATCACATGTATATGATGTATATGAGCTTTTTTAACACTCTGAATGAATAAATGAACAGTTGTATGTGTATATGCACACATAAACATAAACATATATACACACATATAAAGATAAATATGTACATGTACTACACATATATAAAAAATGTACTGGGTTATTTCTTAGGAATACAGAAAAAGAAAAAAATCAGAATACAAATGAGAATTTCTCAAACGTTGACTTCCTAAAAATGGTTACTTACTAGGCGTATTTTCCTGTACTTGCTTGACCCTTCTCAGACATATCTTAAAATAAGTCACTACAAAAGGATAAAACTGTCTTAAGTGACCCCTTTATACCTGAAGCTAGACTAGTAAATGGTCCAAAACAGATAAATGTGTTACAGAAACAAATTAAGTTCTAAGTGATCAAGCGATTTAAAATGATGATTTAGAAATTTCTAAGTCTGGCACCAGCAGGTGGCATAATGGTTACATCACTGGACTCCCATGTAGCCAACCGCAGTTCAAGTCCCGGACCGGTGGCTTAAACCAGGCATGTGTGTGCATGTCCCAAATTCCAAGAGGAGAATGGAGGAGAAGGGATTGTAGTATGGCCATCCTCCCTGGGGTATGATTTCCCACTTTCACCAGTGAGCATATGCACCCTATAGCAAAAATCTCTCTCTGAAAAATAAAAGAAGAAGAAGAAGAGGGAGGAGGAGGAGGAGAAGGAATTTCTAAGTCTTCTCTGATTGGATTTAAGCTTATGTCTCCGAATTAAACTCCCACTCAAATCCTCAGTATTACATCCCAAATGAAAATCTTCATGATGGTGAAGGACTTAATAACTTTTTTTAAAAAAAAGTAGGTTTAGAACTCAGTTCTAAGATTAAAGAATTCACAGATCCCTATAAAATTAATCAAGAAGCCTAGAAAATAAAGTCAAAGGTATAAAGTTCTGCCCAATAAAGATAAATTCCTCAGACATCTGTTTACACACTGGGAATACCACTATGTGATGCTGATTGGGGCTTCTGACATCTGTCTCTTTGAGTTCAAGTCTTGCATTATCCACTGACCACCTTATCTCCATGTAACATTCTTTAGGTTGGGGGGGGGCTAAAAATCTTTAACTGCTTAGTTTTAACCAATACAGTTTTCTTTTTCTTCCTACTATAAATTGATATCTTAGTCAAAATCCCAGAGCCCTAGTTCTCTGCAAGGCCACAATCCATAATGATAATTCTGGATCACTTTAAAGAAAAGTTTACATTCTGTTCAAAATGCTACAGAAGGCAGGAGAGTTACTCAGTAGTAAACCCACATGCTGAGATAGGGCTCTCCTTGACGTGTGAGACAAACTCCAGCCCACTGCTTTTTCTCATACAAAAGGGAAAAAGGAAGAAAAAAAGACTATTTAGTACCACAAAGGAGAATCTGGACTTGAGGCTTGACACTGATTAGCATAAGAAAAAATTAGGAAGAAATGCAAGAATGAGAAGAAGAAGAAAGAGAAAAAGAGAAGAGAAAGAAAAGCAGGTAAACCATAAAATTATTCTACTAAAATCAGGGTGGTTTTGTTTTTGTTTGTTTTGGGGTTTTTTTGTTGTTGTTGTTGCTGTAACCTTACTTACATGTGTGTGTGTGTGTGTGGTTATTTTTTTTTTAATTTATAGTATTCCATGCCCTCAGGGTTTCTGACTGCTTTACCTTTTACAAAATTAATGTCCCAACTACATTATTTCATGGGTTACCACAGATTCTAGTATGAGTCCCAACAGAACAAGTTCATCTCTAATCATTATCCTCCTTTCCCAACTCTTTCAAGTCCATTTCCCAGGAGCCCTATCTGTCTAGTATTTCCTACCTGCCTCCTCTCCTTCCCACATTTATTTGAGTGGAAAATTAATGAGAGCTTATAGCATACTAGAGAGAGAAGCTATCTATATAAAAATAACATTAAAAACATTTATAAAACAATAATGAAGAATGAAAACATACAGAATTTAAAATGAAAAAGGAAAATAAAATGAGTTTAGTAAACTGGATAAGATCAGGAAAACTCCTGGAGAGAGGTGAGTTTGGATCAGGAGTTTCCAAGCAGATAGTTTATAAGTAGAAGAGAAAAAGCACTTCTGCCTGGAGCCCACCAAAGCATGTGACTGCTGAACATGGAAGTGTGGCTTCATGGTGGAAAGGTGTGGGCCTTGTGGGCCATCCTCTTGGGACTGTATATGAGCACCATAAACTTTAGCGGGAAGTGATCTCTATCTAAAAAAATGTCTCTGGGGCAGACTGCAGAAAGATCTTACATCATAGAGCAGGGTCAGCACACGATAGCCCATGGGTAAAACTGACTTACTGCCTGGTTTGCAAATAAAGTTCTACACAGTCATGCCCATTCATTTACAAGTTATTTATGACAACTGCTGCATTACAACAGTAGAGGTGAATAGTTAAGACAGAGTCCCTATGACTTGCAAAGCCTAAAATATTTATTTGGTCCTTCATGAAAAATGTTTGTCAACCCCTGACCTAAACCAGATCACCCAAAAAGTTTTCATCTTTCTTACACCCTGTCACCCCAATCAAAGGTAGACAGTACTTCTAGATTCCTAAAAAGTAAAAGTTTAACATTGTCATGGGAAGTCTAGTGATAGTTACCAAACACCTACTACACACCCCACGGCATAATATCATTCCCTGAAGATGCTGTTACCTCTTATCCCACCAGCTGAAACCCCCAGACACTCACCTATATCTCTTGTAGTCTTCTTCATCCTTGTCCAAGCTGACCAGCTCATTGGGACATGCCACATTACCCAGAAGACTGAGGTACTCCAGAGCTGGTGTTGCTTCTGCCAGGTGATCAAGCAGGTACTCCAAATCAGTGATGTAGAAAGGTTAAGGATTTTGGTCTAGGATGGCAGAAGGCTTAGTTGGGAGCATAGGCCATAAATGATAGGCTATGCGTATCAGTTGGCAAATCCAGTCTGCTCCTGTGAGTCAAAGTGAGGGGTGATATCAACTCTGCTATGTGCATATGGCACCACTAGTTTTTCATTCCTTCTATTAGGAACACAGCCCAGTTTTTCTTTGGACAGGTCAGGCTAAGTCCAGATCACTTAAAAGAGAATAAAAAGACTTAATTGTTTAATTGCACTTCTTCTATACACTATAGTTCTGCTTTTTTAAAAAATAATAATAAAAGGGTAGATTCCACCTAGTAAAATATTTTACAAAATGCAAATCCATAAAACACTTTTTTAGTAATTAAAATGAGAAATTATTTCCAAAGGATTCATGAAAGATGTATTCTCCTCTCCATGTGGGGAACATACAGGAATGACATGAATCCAAACAGGGACTGGTTCCTGCTTCTGATCTGAGAACCTACAGGAAAGCTAAGCATTGCTTAGTGGTCTCACTGGTGGCATTAAAGCATTGGACTGGGGGGAAAGAGAATACTAGGAGAAAAAGAAAACAAGAGTAAGGTAGGATAGGTTTAGTGAGACCAGGCAGGTCAAATTGCATTTTCTGTGACTCTGTTATGAATCCAATATTCCATGAAAAAGAAAATGAAAGAGAAAAGGCACAGGAGAGGAATGGGAATGAGATTATTCTATAAGCAATCTCCTAGTGGGATCCACTGGCCAATCCAGGCAAATACTAAGACCCCAAACCAAATAAGGCAAGAGTGATAGCTTCACGGAATTACAGGTTTTGGAAAGGATTTAATGACAAACTAGTCCACATATCAGTTTCTGGTCTGAGCCACAAACAGGTGAGATGTACCTTAGGTAAAGGGATGATTAGACAAGCCATGAATGGAGACCGTGATTACCAGGAGCTATAAGAGTTGGCCAGAGTCAGTGGATAGGATGGAGTCCTTGGCAGGGAAGGCAGCAAAGAAAACAGGGACTAAACATGTAGAGAGAATGAAATACCCATGTGTCAAAGCTATACTCCTGTTTCGCTCCCAGGAGCGAAGTTCACTTTCACCTAGGAAAGGAAGGTAAAATCAAAGGTCTGCTCTGCTCTGCTCTGACAGGCTGTTATCTAACCTTAGAACAATACCTAGACGTATTCGTACTTTGTTTCAACTTGCCACTGAAGAATGAATTCCAGTCTGTAGAATGCCTAAATTCAGACCCTAACTTATTTGCCCAGGAGTCACCAAAAGGCATCGCATTCCATTCTTGACAACCATAATAGTTTTCCCTTCCTCTGGGATCTAGTCTTCCTCTAACTTCTACCCACTGACCCATTTAACTACTTGAGATCACATGATGAGCCTTCAGCTATGTGAAACTTTCACCTTCCTTAAATCATGTATTCTCTAAACTAAGTTCCTTCATGCATTCTTCACACAGCATGGTCTGCCACTGTCTTCCGAAGGATCAAATGTTGAACTCTGAGTGGGAGTAAGAGGAAGGACACAGAAAGCAGAGAAGGAGCAAAAGAGGTAGAAAAGACTGATTTTCTCAATTTGCCAGTATCTTCTCCATTTCCTAAACAGAGACAGAAAAATGGACAGGGAAGATTTGAAGCCTTCACATCTTTCACAAATAACATCTGGGTATGTTAAAATGAGGATGAAGGGAATGGGGGAGTTCATAGAGAAACCTAGAAGGAGGGTCCCACCAGAGAGGTAAGTTTGGAAGTTCAAGAAGTGCATGGCCAGGAATCAAAATATTAACCTATTATCACTGAAGACAAAACATGCTTACTACTCTTTTCATTTAAGTCATCACGTTATTTGAGAAAATCATTTAAATATAACCAATTAAAGTGAAAATGAAGAATTCCAGGGAAAATTCAGCTTTTCCAGAAGCTTCTATCTTTGTATGCTTCAGTCTTTGCTATACTAAAAAAAATGAAAAGAAATTTTAAAATAAATAATAGAGTCTTGCCAGTATTCTATCAGTATAGATAGAATAGACTTGGGCAGAGGCACCTCAAGGGGCCACATGTTTCGGAGTGTTTCCTCAAAATGCTTTAAGTCATTGTCTGGTACCCAGGACTGGTCAGGGGCCAATAGGGCCATTAAAGTAGAAAACCCCACATCTCAACTTGAACCTACATGGGCCTCAGTCCCAGTCCTGGTTTTTCCCCTTCAGGATTTACTCCAAGTCCACCTCATATATGGGGCCCATCAAATTTTCCATGGAGCACTAGGACTCATGCCTGTATAAGGTTGTCTTAAAGTCTTAAGGTGAGGCCCTCATTCCAGGGAAGACAGCCAGACAACCTGATCACGCCTGCTGGCCAGCACAGTATTTTTGTGGGGTTGCAAGAGCAGTCTACCAAAATACTGCTGTCATCCTGATTTGGAGTGATTCAAATATTTATGTAGATGAGAGCCTTGACACCCTAGAAGTCCTCTCTACTATGAATGGAAAAGTTAGACCAAAACCTATTTCCCTCCTGAGGCAGATTCCTTAAACCTTGTTTTATTTTTGTTTTTGTTTTTCCATTTACTTATGGAAGTGAGAATATTTAGGAAAAAAGCTCAAAACTAGCAATATTTTAAGTTGAGAAAACATTCCATAACTGAGTTGGATTGAAATCTTTGTAATTTCTCAACATTTAGTAAGTGATGGGAAGCTAGCACCACTGGAGAAGTAGCCTACTTTAATTTAGATAAATCCTCATATGTAGATTTACCACTGAGCTAATAAAGCTTATACATGAGGAGCTCCTTGCTTGCACAGGTCCTTTCCAAGGCCCTGGGAAAGGCCCTAGTAACATAATCACATAATTGTGTATTTTTGTAAAATTTTCAAAAGTAGTTTAAACTACAATCCATGAAGATCACTGTTCCTTTTCCTGCTAATACTTCTTCCAACACTTTTTCCCTTGAGCTAGGTGACAATAGCAGTGGCCATGGGAATCCTGGGTTCCTGGTGAAGGAGCACTTGTGTAAGAGTGATATTTAATTATGATTCAGTGGGGTATACCATGCAGTTTGCAGTCATTTCTATGTCTAGCTAAATTGTTATTTTTTTTTAAATAACATATTATTTTTTAGAAAGAGTACATGTGCACACACATTAAAAAATAGAAATGAAAGAGAGGCACCCTCAACAGAGATTCATCATGCTGCAATTCCCTTCTCCCAGTCCTCTAGCTCTTCAGGATTCTGGGTGACTATGAACACCTCCAGAGGATCATAAAGCCAACCTAGAGATCTCAATCTGAAGTTGGCCATGCTGATTCAAGATTTTCAGGCACTTCTGTTACCAGTGCATCACAGCAGCTGGACCTGTCTGGTTAAATTACTGCAACAGTATGAGTAGGAATGGCTTCCAGTAACAATGCTCTTACTGTCTACCATGCCAATATGAACACGCAGGAGCCAACATAAAACTGGTGATAAAATGGTTAACAAACTCAACAATTCAAAGAACATTTAAAATTGAGTATAGGCATGCATGTGTGCACACATAGACATACAACTTTAAAAGAGCTAAAATCTTACATAGCTCATATGCAAAAAATGTGTAAGAATTTCTTCAAAATTTAATAATCTTAAAATTTGTTTTTACCAATAATAGCAATGAAATTGCCAATGAGTGATAAAATAAAATGACTTTGGAACCAGCAGATGGTGTAACGGTGACATTGCTGGACTCCCACATGGCTGACCACAGTTTGAGTCCTGGACCTTGCAGCTTAAAACTCACGCCAGGTGCATATGTTTGCATGCCCAAAATCCACAGAGGAGAACGGAGGAGAAGGGATTGCACATGACCATTCCCTTTGGGGGGTGATTTCTCATTTTCTGATTCCCTGTATCTCTGGCAAACGCACACACCCAATAGCAAAAATCTCTCTAAAACAAAATAAAACAAAATGACTCTGATCAACCATACTAAAACAAGGAATTATTTTTCTATTCTCTTTACCAAAAATGTTACAAAATTTCATTACAGAATGAAGCCACAGAGAAATATTCAGTAAAAAAGAAAAAACTTCCTATATAAGAATATCTAGTATAAAAAGATTGCTATTTTTCTAAAATTTTGACATTTGTGGTACTTCACAACTTACAATTTTTAAAAGTTGTTTTTAATATATTTTTTCCCAATAAACATTAATTTTTATGCCTAATTTTGCATTCATAATTATGTAATCCTTGTATTTAAGAAGGCACCATGAAATTACATAAGCTTCACATTCCACAAAACCTGGATCTATCCCTGAGGAGAAGACTAAAGGGAAATAGATCATCCAAATGCCTTAGTCATGGGGATTTCTTGGGCAAAGAGTCTGCAGCTCTAAGAAGCTTCAGCCATCCTGTGCCAGTGAATCTAAGGGATTTCCAGGGAATCTGAGGGATGCCTCATTTAGTGTATTTTGTACGGCAGAAGCTCTGTCTTCTGAATCCTACTGAATGATAAATCAGGCTGAGTCAAGTGGTCTCCCTGAAATCCACACCCAACAGGAAGCCCTAGTACCTTCTCCCTGAATACTCTGGACTAGCCCTTAGATGTTTATGTTGATACTGCCACAAGAAGATGAAGTAGGAGAAGGAATTTTAATTGGTTTCTTGGTCTCCTGGGTCAGCCAGGACAAACATGGCCCTGTCTTGCTTGACTGCACACTCTGAGATAGAACTTGTCACATTCCTTTTTGTCAAGTTGCACGGAAAATTAACCACAGCACTCAATGGATAAGACTCGGTGTCCCAGGCTAACCAAGACCACCACAGTGGAGACTTTCAGGAATTCTCCTAAAGGTACCTGTTCTACTCTCCCCCATTTTTATATAAAAATCTGAAGCAACCTGACACAGTTTCAGCTCTCTCCAGCTGGATTCTTTGCACACACACACCTGGTTTCCCTCATCATATCTTCTCCGGAGTACTTGGCATTCTGATTTTTGTCGGAGTT